TTTGAATTAAACAGGTATGTAGCTCTTGGTTTTGAATTGAACAGGTATCATACCTGTTGGGTTTTGAATTCAAATAGATTTTAATTTGAATTATGGATTTTATTTTAATAAAAAATAAAATTAAATTCAAATGTTTTTGGCCCAAAAAGATTAGAAGCCCAACCCAACCACACACCCGCACCCAGCCCAGCCCGATCGGACGGACGGCGGCGGCGCGCGCGCGTGTGGTGATTTTTGGGTCCAATGGGTGTAGCCTATTTTACCCATAACCTCTCCCTCTAAAACACTTGGGTACCCCTTGGGGCACACCCCAAGAAATATAACAGTGGTAACAATAATAATAATAATGGGTATGGTAGCAAAATAAATAATTAATTTTCTGTTGGTATGCGATAGAGTGTAATTTAATTAGGAATTAATTTATTTATATAATTGTATTAGAAAACTGGGCCAAAGTATAATTATCTTAAATATTTATTAAAGATAAGAATAAATCCATATAATTTATGATTGAATCTGTTGGAGGATACGCGCTGGCCACGTGTTGGCCAGCTAATACTCTTACCTCTCTATAAATAGGGAGGAGGTGATCAACTGGGTGGGAAAAAAAAGGAAGAAAAGAAAGGGAAAGAAAGGAAAACTTAAGGAAAGAAAGGGGAAGAAAATACTAGAAGTGAAGAAGATCTTTGATAATAGAAAGAAATAGTGAGGTATTAATTTTAAGGTGAGTTATATTATACCTTGAGTTACCATTATATATTTTACGTATGTTTTGAGTTACCATAATTTATTTTATACAAGTTATGTTTTATAAATTATATAAATATTTCAATTACGTGGATTAATTTCTGAACTCTATTTGTTTAAAATGAAACCCATGGATATGTTTATTTAAATTTTAAAGAATATTTGACTATAACTTTATAAATAATTATGTTTTGTAAGTACCACCACAAGAGTCTCACGTCTTAGGGGACTTAAATAACCATCGGCTTCTGTTTGTCACTTTGTGGCCCCCTATTGTCATGGATCTATTGACCTCTATTCTGGACGGAGCAAAGTGCTGTGCAGAGATAAGTGCTACACTATTGTGGGAGCCACCTTTATAATCCGTATGAGCTACTTATTGAATCCATACCTCTGTTCTGACTATCATTCCTGTGACCCCTGTTTTGTTTTGTTCTGTTCGGTAACATGGTTATAGTTATTTATTTACATAATCTCAGTTTTGCTACTTAAATGATTATTTGTTCAGACTAAGTTATCTTAAATATTTTAGTTACATAATTATCTATGGTTATTTTGTGTCTCTTATACTCTTGACATAATATTTCTCACTCTGCCATGTGCTTATAGCTGTTTGCCAATTTTCAGGAAACAATGCAATTCAAAAATAGCTTTTGAAAAACCTTAGACGTGGGACTGCAGAATTGACACACACAACACTTTTATGATATTTTTATATGTAAATATCGGCCTTTTTTATAAATAAATTTTGTAATTAAAATAGAAACTCCAATGATTATTTTGGTACCCTCACTTAAATATTATTTTCACTCACGCTTATTAATTTGTTCAAGAATTGGCCGGAAGTAATTTCAGTTACTGGCCATCACGATACTTAACCCTTGGATACGGGAAGCGAGTCGTGACAAGCGTAGGTGACAAATTGACATATGTTAATTTGATATAGAAGTTCTCTATCCGATATGTCAAATTTGTTATTCTACCATTTTTTAAATTTGAACTCTTTTTATTTTACATGGATGCTCTTTATTTCAAAAAATATATGAAATAGGAGCATATTAAAATTGACATGGAGGGGTGATGTCGAATGCCATATCGTTAATACTTGATGCCAAAATATAATTGTTAAAATATCACATCATATTAGAAGTATCGAGTGGAGGTACTTTAAAAAATGTAAAATAATTTTTGTTTGCAAAATTTTAACTTCTCCTCTTTGGTCTCCCATCATGCCTGGGTGTTGTTTATTTGGTTGCCTACGTATGAAAAGTCTGAATGTATGACTGAAACTCCAAGAATAGAAAATGCCAAACAATGGTATATAATATACTCCTTCAAAAGTATTCTAGTCAATATTTTCATGTTCCATGATGACTGAAATTTCTAATCAATATGGAACCATACACCTCTTCGCATTTCTATTTCTTATGTTCAAAGTGTATAATATATGCACTATTGTTTTTACCTACATAATTATTATAGATGGAATTTTAAAATATAATGAAGGGTATTGGTGGTATACAAAAAATAAAGGCTTCCTCCAGTTTACTTACAATTAAAAAATTAAACGAAAATTGCTTATTTTTTTAAGGGATCATGAGCACAATGTTAGGACATTAGACAAAATAATTTGTGACAAATTACCCCTTATATCTTTTAACTTTCAGTCAAATTATGCTTTTGGTCTCTCAACTTTTGTTTTAATTTTCACTCAAATTTTGAATAGTAGATTAATTGGATGACCACATTGAAATAAGAAATGAAATTTGAAAACTTAATTATTGTAATTAAAATATGATAGACCAAAATAAAATAAGAAACTTACAGGCTGGTCCTGTTGATCAAACTTATTTACCTATAAGTCTTGTTCTTTTTTTCACTTATCAATATTCTCAAAGTGCGTTACCTTCTTCATTTTCAATATGAACATTGCCAAAAATCTCTCCTTACTTCTGTCAGTGGCTTTCAGCCATGGCCTCTGGTTGCCACCAACTATATCTGGTTGTCATCTTCGGCCGCCGTCAACTACCTCCGATAGCCGTCTCCGATCGTTGGAGACCATCTCTGACATCTGACGATATATTTTTTTTGACAATATTTTTCAATAATTTTTTGACCATTTTTTTTAGCAAAAACGTCTATCTCTACCATGTCACTACTCATACTACCTCTTCAGATCTGTTTGTGCTTAGGCCTCATTTGGGAACAAACTATTTTAGTAACTTTTTGATTTTTTACGAAAAGATGTGCAGAAAAGTAAAGAGGTGATGTGACAATTTTTAGTAACTTTTTGACTTTTTGACTAAAATAGCCACTCCCCAAACGAGGCCTAAGAGAAGAGAATGAAAATCTAACAGTGATAAATTTATCACTAATGATATTTATTAGTATTTATGAAACCACTAGATTAGTTACTTTCCTACTCTCACATTCACACTTATTTAGTTATTCATTTATAGAAACACACCAACACACTTGCACACAAGAAAACTAAAAAAAAGATAAGATTGGTAAGTTTATTATTGTAACTTTATTCACTTATATGTATTCCGATTTTATAGACAGAACATCTGATTTAACCAAATTTTTACTAACATATTGATGAAGATCCATTAATATGAAGAGAGAGAGAGAGAGAGAGAGAGAGAACCGATATTACTAGTAAGAGCTCTAGCGACCACATAATGGCTGCATCTTGATGGCAAATATGGTTATGGTACTAAATCGGCATCTAAGATAGTTGATTGGCGTTGTAAATGGCTATATTTAAATGATTATAGTGAAAATCGACAATGATAGAGGTAATTGGTGGATGGTTGCAGTGGATCGGCAACAATGAAGTGTAAATAAGAGATGATAAAGTGTAAATCAGTGACAGTGAAGGTGGTTGATGAATGGAGTTGGTAGATCAACAATGGTTGTGTATAGATTGGTGATGATGAATGTGGTTGGTGAACAATGATGTTATCTGGTGGATGGTGGCAACAACTCTGACAGCGGTTGACGATAGTGGAGGTGGCAATGGTCAGTGGTGGTGCGAGACTCTTAAAGAAACAGTAGAGAGAGAGAGAGAGAAGGAGATAAAGAGAAAGGTGACTATCTTTTAATTTTACAAAATAAATAATGAGTATAATAAGTATTTTGAAGATTTGTAAGCATAATTAAAATTTGCACATGAGCTAAGGTACTTAAGTCCATTTGTCGTTTGGGAAGTGGGTTGGTTTTTTTGACTTTTTGGCTATTTTAGCCTGGGGCTAAAAAGCTTGGTTTGGGGAGGACTTTTTGATTTTTTTGACTTTTTTTGTGAGAGAAGAGTATAATGATTATGAGTTGGATGTGATATTTTGTTTGTTATGACTAAAATAACCTATTTTATCTTTTATGACTAAAATAATTCCAAACCTATCCAACTTCACTTGTCAAACCATGCCAATAGGACCACCAACTCAAATAAACTTTGGATGACAAAATTTTAAGGTGGAGAATGTATTTTACTGTTATAGTTATTTTCTTATTTTTCATTTATATGATATTAAAAAAAAAATACACACACAAAAATGAAAATAGTTTCATTCAGTTGAGTTTTATTTTTTTAAATTATTTCTTTACCAAATCAACTTATTTATTTATTTTTTCAAAAAATTATGTTTGAAATTTTTTAAGAAAAACAAAAAACCAATTTAGTGAAAAAAATAACAAATTACAAACAATTTTAACTTTTTGGGAGCCAAAATAATTTTAATATATGTATATATTTTAAATCAAAAAATTGGTAAACCAGCCTCGTTTGAAACAGACTAATTTAGTAACTTTTTGGCTATTTGGTTAAAAAAATAGGTAAAAAAAATTTGTATGTTTGGGATGACTTTTTTTTCAAAAAATTATGTTTGAAATTTTTTAAGAAAAACAAAAAACCAATTTAGTGAAAAAAATAACAAATTACAAACAATTTTAACTTTTTGGGAGCCAAAATAATTTTAATATATGTATATATTTTAAATCAAAAAATTGGTAAACCAGCCTCGTTTGGGAACATGCTAATTTAATAACTTTTTGGCTATTTGGTTAAAAAAGTAGGTAAAAAAAACTTGTATGTTTGGGATGACTTTTTGACTAATTACGAAAAGATGTGTAAAAAGTAGAGAGAAAAGAGAATCTTTGACTTTTTAGTATAGATGATTGACTTTTTGACTAATTTAATAACTTTTTGACTAATTGGCTAAAATAGCCTCTGGCCAAACGAGGCGTTTGTCAAAGATTCTAGAACTCAACAAGAGAAACTTGCTTATTGGTCCGTGTTGCTGGTTCCTTTGTCAAATCTCAAACTTCCTTCCTTCCCCCTCAAAATCCAATTTTGATTTCTCGTTTATCGACTCTCTGTCAATCCCATCACACACCATGAATTTAGGGTTTCAAACTCTGTCTGTATAGTATTTTTACCATTTTTCATTGCTGCAAAAAAAAAAAAAAAATGAGATCGGAAATGGTGACTCTGATACTGGTGAACCTCGCCGGAATCATGGAAAAAGCCGACGAGTCTCTCCTTCCGGCGGTCTACAGGGAGGTTGGGTCGGCTCTCCACTCCGACCCGACCGGTCTCGGATCCCTCACCCTCTTCCGCTCCATTGTTCAGTCCTCTTGTTACCCTCTCGCCGCCTACCTCGCCGTCCGCCACAACCGCGTCCACGTCATAGCCTACGGTGCCTTCCTCTGGGCCGCCGCCACCTTCCTCGTCGCCTTTTCCTCCAGCTACTTCGAGGTTCTAATTCAATTTTTTTTTATTTATTTAAATTTTTTGGTTTTAAATTTGAATTATGGGAATTCAATTTATAATTAGAAGGATTTGGGTTTTGTGTTTGTTGGAAATTAATTCACCATTGGAACAAAGTCAAGGGAATCTGAAATATTGAGGTTTGAATTTGCTATGCATAGATGGGTTTTACCCTGATTGTTTGGTAGCAATTTGGGAAACTGAAATGAGAGAATGTTTTAGCTGAAGATATTTGGGAAGGCAAAATGCTTGGTAAACATTTTTTTAGATAAACTGTGAAATCCTTAAGCTGTGTTTAGTTTATGGATTTGGGTAGGGATTTGGAAATGGATAGAGAAAATGTAGTTGAAATATGAATGAAATATAACTACATTTTATACATTATTTTCCAACTCAAATCCCTACTCAAATCTATGAACCAAACACAGTTTTAAAGAAAAGCAACCTGGAATGAATTGGCGGTCTTTTGAAATGTAGGAATAACTTAATTAGACAAGTGATGAAGCAATGCTATCTATAAATAGATTAAATTTGAAGAAGATGTTACTTGTGTTGACCCCATAATTGAGGCCACAGGGAGAGTTATGACCGGAAAAAGACCTTATTATTCATCCAAGGTATTTGTTCTCAAAATTAAACCCATGTTCATACATACGCTTGCCAGCCTGAGTTTTTACCATTGCAATAGGCAATGCCCCTGCGTGCAGTGTCTTCTAAATGTGGAAAAATTATGCACGATGTAAACATCTGTTTTTGGTTTTGTGAGGTTCTGTTTAGTTTGATAACTAAGATTATGTTTTTTTTTTTTTTTTTTTGGAAGTACAAAAGTCTTTGAAAGAGGAATTATGTGTTCCATGCACTCAGGGGTTTGGGAACAAAATAAGTTGCCCAACTAGGTGAAAAAGGAAAAGCAACCTCTCGAAATGGACCACTTGCTTTGGAATACAAGCGAAGAGCAGAAGACATCAAGATCCCAGGGCTTTTGGGTGTTTTCTACTAAGATGGCAGATCAGAGAGTATCCTCAATGTTGTATTGAAAAACTAAGGAATAGTGAGTGTGGTATTTATACCACTCTTGACACATGGCGGGCCCTATGAACACCACATCATGCCACATCATCACTAGACCTTCATGTGCTAGACCCCTAAGGCACCACGACATCCTCACAGGACTAAATGGAGTAGTATGCCTAGCGTACGCTGGGGCATACACACCACCAAGTTTGCATACTCAGCTCACTAGTCCGTGTGTCACCTTAGTAGGCAAGAGCTCCGAAGTGAATGAGTTAAAGTATTAAGAGTCCGATGTGGCTCAAAGCATACAGGGTAGAGCCAAGCTAGCCTACTTAGCCATAACCTACTTAGAAACACCATGGTTCACCTAGAGCCTTTGCTCACTATGGTTTGTCATACCTCATTCTCATAGGGAAACACTTAGGAGTGATCATCTCTCTACTAGTCACTCCCGGTCATAGTGTGACCCTTGGCTCACCTATGTCTCCCTTATGTGCTCACTCCCTAAGTGAGGATCACTCTACTTGCGACTATTACAGCCATCAGTTGGCTACTTAGGTTGGGAGCAAGGCCTAGGCATCCACAGCTCGGGATCATTGGAGGATTGTGGAATGGAGGCTAGGATCATGAGTTCGTCTAGGTTGCCTGGTTGTCTTCCTTGAGATGACAGCTCCACCCTTGATCAGTCTTACAAAGAGGGAATGTTAACCTTACATTCACACCTAATGGGACTGATGATATCACCATCCTGTTGAGTTAAAAGAGCTCACCACCTGTTCGTTGGTGGCTTGGGCTTCAATTCTCCTAGAATCTATATTAGGATATCATGCATGCAGCTACACATCATATCGTAACACAATGTTGTGATCATATCACAATACACACAAGATAAGAGCACTTGCCTATCTCGCTTACAACCACCCCATAACCTGAGTGTTCAAGATCTCTTTCTTCCCTCTCTGTCTATATGTATGTCCTGATCTCCTCCTCCTCCACCTCCTATGACCTTGAACCATTGAAGTGTCTGCCATCTTCCTAGAGGTTCACAACCAACCGCCTCTAATACCCTAATACTACAGCAATGCTTCAACTTAATGGCCATATGAAGCATGGCTCTAATACTTTGTCTTAGATGTGTTTTTGGTGATATGGCTCTGTTGGACATCGAATTTTTTGGCCTTTTTCAAAGGATTATGCATCTATAAATTTAAAAATTGAAAACTAGGACAAACACAAAGCATTTTTTATTTATTTAATGAATGATGTGGGGAGCCCGTGTATTAGGCAACTGGCGTCAGCAAAATATGTTACTAAAAATGAAGTGTTGTATGACAAGCTTGAAATCCTAGAATGACCTCACTCTTTTAAATGTTAATAATTATAAATAGGTTCTCTGTTTATAATAATTTCATTTTCATGCAGTGTCCAATTTATCCCGTACCAATTCAAATAAGAAGAAAATTGACCATGCATGGAATGAACAAAGGTTTATTCAACTTCCCATCTTCGAGATAGTTATTGAGCTCTAGGTAAAGGAATTGGCTCTTTTCATGACTTCTAAAATCTACTAAATTCCTAGTCCAAACAAAGAGAACAAAAACTCAAAAGAACTTTTTAAATCATTGCATTTGATGCTTTAGAAGTAAAGTAGAGATTATTTATTTATTTATTTATTTCAACACTTCTAAATGGTCATCTTTGCCCTTAAACTTTTCAGGTGGCAGTATCAAGAGCTTTGAATGGGATTGGCCTCGCAATAGTTGCACCAGCGATTCAGTCCCTTGTAGCTGATTCAACAGATGACAACCATCGTGGTACGGCTTTTGGATGGCTACAATTAACCAGCAACCTTGGATCAGTTATCGGTGGACTCTTTTCTTTGTTGATAGCTCCAATGACATTCATGGGAATTCCCGGTTGGAGACTAGCCTTTCATCTTGTTGGTATAATCAGTGTCATTGTGGGTATATTAGTTCGCATTTTTGCCAATGATCCACACTTTCCAGATGGTGATGCTAAGCTTACCAATCAAATTCCAAGTAAACCCTTCTGGTCAGAAGTGAAAGACCTGTTTCAGGAAGCCAAGTCAGTTGTGAAGCTCCAATCCTTTCAGATTATTGTGGCTCAGGGTGTCACTGGTTCGTTTCCCTGGTCAGCTTTGTCATTTGCCCCCATGTGGTTGGAACTTACTGGCTTCACCCATGAGAACACTGCGTTCCTGATAGGTATGTTTGTGATCGCTAGTTCACTTGGGGCACTGTTTGGAGGTAGGATGGGGGATAAGCTATCCAAGCACCTCCCAAATTCTGGCAGGATTATTTTGGCACAGATAAGCTCAGCATCAGCCATTCCTCTGGCAGCAATACTACTACTAGGTTTACCAAACAATGCCTCCACAATGTTAATGCATGGCTTGATCTTGTTCATTACTGGGTTCTGCATATCTTGGAATGCTCCGGCTACAAACAAGTAAAGACTCAATCTAACCCTTTATGTTTTCCCGAGTCTTATCGATATTTGTCTTTTAAGTCCCTAATATCTAAGAAGCATGGACACTTCTAAAAAGGCGGCATGTCCGTGTTGTATCCATATCGGGCATTCTTGGGTTTAATTTTTTCTTTTAAAACCCAGACACTCATTTGACACTAGGGAGACACGCATGTCTTTTGCTTGGACACACATGAAACTAACTACAAATTTGAAAAAAAAAAGTTGGGATACGATGATAATAGAAAAAAAATATAAATTTATAGAAATTAGTGTTATATCATTATGTTACATTTTTATTTTCTTTGTATGATACAATAAATATATTCATATATTCATATATGACACAATAAATATTTATAACTATATATTTTGTGTGTGTCTCCTACATGTCGTGTCTTGCATTTTTTAAAAACTATCATCTGTGTCATGTCACATATTTGTGCTTCTTAGCATAATATTAAACCAAGGGTCAATTACCAGAGTCGTGCCTTGTGCTCACTCATTGAAAGGAAAGGGCGTGGGGCTCACGAAACTGAAAGAAGCATTGTTTCATCATGTTAAATGGAGTCATTATGGAACCGTGATGGGAATAGAAAATGCGAGAATGTGGCAAATTATTAAGTTTGAATGAATAAAGTAACCAGAACTATTGAATTGAGTATTTTGATAACATGGTGTCGACAGTCCAATTTTTGCAGAGATTGTCCCCGAGAAATCCCGAACAAGTATATATGCTTTGGATAGATCCTTCGAGTCTGTACTATCGTCATTTGCTCCCCCTATAGTTGGGATACTGGCTCAGCATGTTTTCGGCTATGAACCCCTTCCTGAAGGGTCCAAAGATATTGCAACAGATAGAGCGAATGCTGCTTCACTTGGCAAGGCACTATATGCAGCAATAGGAGTTCCGATGGCACTGTGTTGCCTCATCTATTCTTTTCTCTACCACACCTACCCAAGAGACAGGGACCGTGCTCGGATGGAGGTTTTAATAGAATCAGAGATGGAACTGCTGGAGGCGGAAGTTCAGTTCTCTGAATCAAAAGAGCTTTATACAGACAAACAAAGCATTGTTGAAATGGGTTATGAAGGTAGACAAAGTCTTGATTTTGAAGATAGTGATGAGAAGATGTTACTTTACCGACAGTTGACATTCTCCAATTTAGGTGATAGCCTCTCGGACAAGTTTGCCTGATCTATCCGTCAACATAGGAAATTGTTGTTGTTTTTAGTTAGTATAAATCATGCTGGAAAATTATATTTTGTGATGAAAGAGGCAAATTTTGGAAGGCGTGAAAATGCTTGAAGATTTGCACAAACCAGATATGCCTCTCAGACAAGTTCGCCTGATCTATCTCTCAACATAGGAAATTGTTGTTGTTTTTAGTTAATATAAATCATCGAAAATTATATTTTGTGATGAAAGAGGCAAAATTTGGAAGGCATGAAAATGCTTGAAGATTTGCACGAACCAGATATCCATCTTCTGTTGTTCGGCGACTGGGAGGTTGCCCAGGCACGGAAATGTAGTCAAAGAACTGATTGAAGGGTGTTAGATTTTTTTGAGCTAGTTTTGGTTATTTTGTTGCCAGTTGTATTGTAATTTAGTATATCATGAGACCCTTCAATCTTTTGTAAAACACACAAGTTTGTAAATTTTGAAGTTCACACATTATTCTTTTTACCATTATTTTCTCTCTCTCTCTCTCTCTCGCTTGTAAATGATGACAGATGAGAATCCAAATCTGATTCATACCCTTATCAGAAATATGATTCACCATGACTATATATCAGTTTAGTGTTTGGAACTCTGGTTTTGAAAGAGAAATCTGCTATTTATTGCAGAAGAACCTTCATGGCTGATTTGAGAATTGTTATGTTTTCTAAAACAGTAATGTTACAAATCTAGACGTAACTTACGTTATATAAATTTAATTTCCATCGCACACAGTCACCCATCTAAAAATATCTCAGTGGATAGACGTTTCATTTGAAATAATATTGACATCCATAGCTTCCAGAACCATGCAAGTACTTTGTACAAATTGCCACCATAAAACTGAACTTAATTATGAAGTGATGAACTGGCTTGACCCTGCAAACCTGCTCGAGTCAGTTGGATTTGAATTTGATCGTGTCAATGTTTGAAATTTTAAAAACTTGGCCTCATTTGGTAACGTTTTGTTTTTTATTTTTATTTTTATTTTTAATTAAAAATAAAAACTTTATTTTGATAACCGTTCTTCTTTTCAAATAAATCGGATTGATTTTAAAATTTTCAAAATTTTAGTGGAAAAAAAAGTTTTTTTCACTCTCTCTTCTCTCCCACCACCTTTGGCCATCACCCACTGGGCCACCCACCAACACTGGCTGGCCATCGATGAGCTCTGGTAACCTTTTGGCACGCTTCAATGATTACTGCATACAAGGCCGGCTCTGACTTTTTTGAAACTCAAAGCGAACTTTCAATATGAGATATTTCATACATATTTAAATAATAATAATAAATACGTGTTTAATTTTTATTTTTTTTGGAATATTTGACAGTACTCGTTAAAATGTCACATCCAACATGTATCTATTATTGATCAATATATATATATGTCTATTTACATTTACTTAGATATACATTAAAGTTTACAATGACCAAAATGATCCAAATTGAAGTATCACGTAAAAAGTAAACAAATTGTAACAGAAATCACTTAAACATCATTCTTTTCGCATTTTTATCTGTAAAATTACTAATCTAATTTGTATAATCCAACTTATAAGCTAAATCATTTTTAATGGATAAAATTGCTAATCTATTTAACATAGTTGGGCAAAGATAAGATTTAATCAGCTTTAATTTGAAAAGAGCAACTGTAAATAGTATAACCAATTAAATTCTATACATAATTCATATATTTGGAAAATAACCATTCAATAATTTTAAACAATTCACCGCATCAATAAATTTTTTGATTTTTCTGATTAAAAAAAAAACTATATATTAGTTTTAAATAATTTATTAAATCAACCATTTATTTTGTTTAAATCATAACGTATTTTGTTGACACCTCTTAAATTCTAGTGATTTTTTTTTATAGGCTAACATAATAGTTAACACATTTTTGGGGTTTTTTTTTTTCTGTTTTTTTGGGAGCCCAAAGCAAGTACATGTGACCTCCAATCATGTTTTGGCGATCCTTAGGCCACCTCTTGACCTTTGGTGACACTCCAATCACCAACTCTCGAGGCCAGTTCCGGCCATCCCCATCACTAATCAGCACATCCCCATCACTAATCAGCACATTCGTCCACCCTCCACTACTAGTCGCTACCTTTGACAACTCACTAACCACGTTTCTTTATTTTTACTTTCAAAACTTTTGTATACAATAAACAAGTTTTTGATTTTGGCTTTTTACACACTAAAAAAAAATATATATATACATATATATATATATTTCTTATTATTTGTAAACAATAAACTGAAAACGTTATCAACCCACATACTTGCATTCCATTTTCATTTAGTCATTCCAAAGTTGAACTACATAGAGTTCAGTGCTAAAAGTTTTCAAAATAATCAAAACCTACCAAGTTCAAAGTTTAACCGAAGTCAAAAAAAAAAAAAAAAAAAAAAAAAAAAAAAAAAAAACTAAAAACCTTCCTTTTCTACAGTAAATATTATCACTTTAAATACATCAGAAATATATTATTCTTACAGATTTGCAAGCCACAAGCTCTACACAATTTAAACATTACCAGTGGTCCTAACAAATACAAAGCTTGGACCTTATTGATAGCCACTAATTTATATATGTGACCTTTTCAATTAGAATTGTTTGAGAAACAAAGGGGAAGATCAACAGCAAAACTAAACACTTAGCTGGGTTTTGTAGCAGAAATCATCACAAAGCGTCTATTCCTATCGCATTTAAAATCCACAAGTCCACAGGCATTGCAGAGTTCTTCAAGTTCACTGTCAGCTAGGAAGATGTGGCTGCCTGAGATTCGCCCAAAATTCTACATTGACAACAGTTACTGATCATCATCAGCCATAAATTTAAAGCCTATATAGGTCCCGCTAGGCCTGTAAATGGATCGGATCTGTCAAAATCCGAATCCAATCCGATTAAGACAAATCCAAATCTGATCTGAATCTGTTTAGCCCATATCCGATTATAGATATACGAATCCGAAGCCGATGATTTCGGATATCCGATAACCCAATCCGATCAATTTATTTATTTATTGAGCTACAATTTTATTATTTATTTTTATTTTTATTTTTTTTTCATTTTGTGTTTTCTTCATTCAAATTGAGAATAATCGGATCGGATTATCAGATTGGATTGGACTTTTGCATATTCAATCCGTTTAATAAACGGATTTGGATTATTGGATTTTTTGTAAATGGATTCAGATTTTCAGATTGGATTCTAGTCGGATACAGATTAAATCCGATCCATTGACAATTAAAGCTCATCAAATAAACTAATGAAGTTCAAATGTCATCTTCTTTGAAAAAGGGAGGAAAATAAAAAAAAAGAAAAGGAAAAAGAAAAGTGTTCGAAAAAGAGTGCATCTGCTCTCTACAGAGTCACCACAGCATGGACAAAAGGGAGTAGTGTTGGGTATACCTCCTTATTGGAGTGTGGGACCCAATTAGTTTGTTAAAGAGTTTTAATTTGACTTGATTTAGGTATAATATATTTTTATATATTATATTTGAGGAGACCCAATTCAATTTGGATACAATTAGAGTTTTGTTAAAAAGCCCAAAATTCAACAATATAAATATATGTTGTTTAGATCTTCCGGATCAGAGTGGCGCAACAGCATCAATTCTTTTTCGGTAAGAGTATTCGGTGTATCAATCAATCTTGTTGAATTTGTTTTGTGAAACAGTGTGGCTGCCAAGTCATATGTGTTGAGTTAGTGCTTGGTGCACTGTGGGTTCGTTAGTGAATTTCGGTTGGCTACTTCGGTTTCGGCTTCATAAGTTGGATGATTTAGTTCGTTATTTTGGGTCTTCTTCAACTTTGGTTCAGAAGATTTTGGTTCTTCTATTTGGTGAGGTCTTTCCTCTTTGTTTATTTGTGATTATTTGGAATTCACCTAAGGGTGTTTTGTGAGACCATTAGTGTCTCGTTTGTAATCGTTTGGAATTATTTGGTTGATAGTGGAATCGAATTTCGATCCCGTGGACGTACCTCACATTGAGGGAACCACGTAAAAATTCTTGTGTTGCCTTTGATTTAATTTTTCCGCATTAGTTTTTTTATTCCCATTGATTGATTTACTTGTGGAGAATCACATCGATTTTCCCTAACAAGTAGAACCACTCTTTGGTGGGGCTTGATATAGGAACCAAATGAAAAATTTAAATTAAATTAAATGACTAGATTTTAATCCTAAGGATTCAACCACATTTTCACTTTTGCCATTTTTCATTTTTCACATTCCATCTGTCTTATGTGGAATACACAAATAAAACGAGGACCATGCTGAAAAAACCTACCTGGCTCAGAGGTTTCAATAATGGGAGTGCTGCAAAAGGACCATCCAGTATGTAGGTGGTAGCAACAAAAACACCACCAGGTCGTAAAATACGACTTATTTCAGCCACCTGTTAAATCATAAATACCAAATTAAAGAACAAGTAGACTATATGGAGGTCTTACGAAATTAGATTCATAGACAGTGAAATAGTATCAAAATATGTTGGGCAACAACACTGAAAGACATTAAAATCCTAATTTGAAGATGTACAGCAAAGTTAAGATCAAACAGGTTCTAAAAGCCTAGATGCTAGGAACAAAATTAAAGAGGACCCATAAAACTTAGATTTCCATAAATAGATCCCGATGACTCCATCTATAGAACGGATTTCCGCTTCTAACATTGGCTCCAGACTTACCGTGCACACAAGATCATTTCTGAATGAAGCTGATCCAATGGAATTTTCTGTTACTACTAAAAATCTACAACAGTTTCTTTAATCTATTCGCATACAACAGGTTCACATTAGTGTTTAGTCCCTCTTTCATTGACGCTGTTAATCATTTGAGAAGTGAGGAGCCTAAGTTGTTAGACATGTGGAGAACTTGTTTAGGAAGAAATTAATCTGGATGAAATATTTCAATATGTAGGGGAATGTTCCAATTCTTAAACGTGACAAGCTTTCCAAAATGGAGTACTGATGTGAGAAAAATGAAAAAGTGTACCTAACACATTGGGCTATCCTTGACTCAGGAAAATTGCAAGCAAGAGGAATGATCAGTAGGTGTTTCCAACTGAGAAACTACCAACAAAGTGCTGCAGATGTCTCTGTGGACTTGGTGCTACCGCTAGAACCAAACAAGGAGAATGCACTGAATACATTTCCCACAGTTCACTACAATGGTTGTTTTCAGTTTTTGGTATCACCTCAAGTTTTGGACTGGAATTTGATTCTTATGATCTAATCTGATCCTCATTACTTTTTTTGAAAGTTTTACTCATATTTCTTCAGTTATGAATCAGAGTTGTAATTGTAAGGACTATGTCAATTGACTATATCTCCTCATTTAGGATGAAAATTGAAAGGCTATGACAAAAGTGAATGTCTACAATAGTAAATAGGTTGAACTTTTGGGTCAAGTGATTGTTTACATTTTGGAATTACATAAAGATAATAATTTAAGAGTTACATGTAGC